TTACATAAAGATGAAAACCAAATTCAAATCATAGTACTATAACATCCTTTTTATTGAAAGATTCATCATTATAACTTAAAAATATGAACTATTAAAGTGAAAATGTGACCCAATGCAGAGCAGAAAATCAAATTCAGATTATCTGGTTCCAAGGCTGACTAGGGAGGTGGAAAGAAAAAAGGATTTTTAAGAATCAGAAGACTCTCAGGGTCTATGTGAAAAATCCCTTCCAAAGATCTCAATTTACAACACCTGCTGGGTCAAATTCAAAACTCAACTTTATATAAGGTCAGTTTGCAAAGAAGTATGGAAAACTGAAAGGGTCACTTTGTAACATGGAAAAAACTGACCTGGATCATAAAATAGAATTAGCTGAACTTGCTTTTCTTGACTTTAAGATCGATAATATGATCATTCGGAGAAGGCAATGGCACCCCACTCCAGTGCTCTTGCCTGGAAAATCCCATGGACGGAGGAGCCTGGTGGGCTGCAGTCCATGGGGTCGCTAAGAGTCAGACACGACTGAGCGACTTCACTTTCACTTTTCACTTTCATGCATTGGAGAAGGAAATGGCAACCCACTCCAGTGTTCTTGCCTGGAGAATCCCAGAGACGGGGGAGCCTGGTGGGCTGCCGTCTATGGGGTCGCAGAGTCGGATACGACTGAAGCGACTTAGCAGCAGCAGCAGCAGCAGCCACAGCAGCATGATCATTGGGCGCCCTCTAGTGGATTAACTTAAAAATTCTTGTTTGCCCTTGAAGCTGAAAAGATCAGAAACTGAAAATCAGTATTTTAATTACAAATAAAAGAAATAGGCTTGTATTTTATATTATACGTACTTAGATCTTATTATATCTGTATTTATCTTGTTCATTATATTTTATATTTATTAAAGTTTTTCTACTCTACAAGCAAAGAGGAAAAACTATTTGCTTAAGGTATACTCTTTTCACTCTGCCACCCCCCAAAAGGAAAGAAATTCTGAGTTTATTAAATTAACTAAATGTAATTTAAGTTTACTTATTCAATAAACAACTAAATGAAATGAATTCTGTCCCTCACTTGCTTAAAACTTCAAAAAAAATCTTGCAAACATTTTTGCTTGAATTAACTTGTTATCAGTTTTAAAGCTCTTGGGCACTCTTATCTCTTCATTTTAATGATGTTTCAAGGTAAAATGAAGTTTTTCAGTGGAAAATTTTCGAAATTATGAGGTAAGAAGTGTGCTTGACAAATTGGGAAAGAATGAATAAATGTCAACTACAACTTGTTTGTGAAAACCACTTGCATTGTTTCCTTAATTGTTGACTCAACTAGTTCTTTTTTTAATATAATTTCACACTTAGGGAAAGGTTGCAAGACTCATACAAATATTTCTAGGGTACTTTTCCCTCAGATTCCCCAAATATTAACATTTTTCTATATTTGCTTATTTGTTTATTCTCTCTCTTGTATGCATGTTTTTACGGATTGTTTAGAAATTCAGACATGACATCTCTCTCAATACCTCAGTGTATTTTTTCTAGCACATAAGCGCAACATAAAGTATCAAAATCGGAAAATTAACGTTAATACAGTACTTCTGAGTGCCAAAGAATTGATGCTTTTGAATTGTGGTGTTGCAGAAGACTCTTGAGAGTCCCTTGGACTGCAAAGAGATCAAACCAGTCAATCCTAAAGGAAATCAGTCCTGAATATTCATTGGAAGGACTGATGCTGAAGTTGAAGCTCCAATACTTTGGCCACCTGATGCGAAGAACTCCTTGGAAAAGACCCTGATGCGGGAAAAGATTGAAGGCAGGAGGAGAAGGGGACGACAGAGGATAAGATGGTTGGATGGCATCACTGACTCGATGAACATGAGTTTGAGCAAGCTCCGGGAGTTGGTGATAGACAGGGAAGCCTGGCGTGCTGCAGTCCATGGGGTTGCAAAAAGTCAGACACAAGTGAGTGACTGAACTGAACTGAACAGTACTACTATTTAATCTATATGCCCTATTCATATCTCAGCTGTCTCAATAATATCCCCTTTAATGAAAGAAAATTCAAGATTATGCGAGAGGTTCAGTCGCCTTGTCTCTTTGCTTACATGTTCAGTCATGTCCAACTCTTTCTGACCCCATGGACTATAGCCTGTCAGGCTCTTCTATCCATGGAATTTTCCAGGCAAGAATACTGGAGTGGGTAGCCATTTCCTACTCCAGGGGGTCTTCCCAACCCAGGGATCAAACCTGTTGTCTTCTGCATTGACAGGCAGATCCTTTACCACTGAGCCACCTGGGAAGCCCCGTTGTCTCTTTAGTCTCCTTTAAACTAGAACAGTTTCTTGGTCTTTCTTTGTATCTCATGACACTGACATTTTTGAAGAGTGCAGACCAGTTATTTTGTAGAATGCCCCTCAATTTGAGTTTGTCTGATATTTTCTTGGGGGTAGATTCAGGTTGTGCACTTGTCAACTGAAAAAAAAGTCTACGACCTAAAAGTTGAGAAATATGTTTTATTCGGTAGACTTTTGAGAACTTAAGCCTGGAAGCAGTCTCAGATTGCTCCCAACTCATAAGAGGCAATGGAGGAGCCAGGATTTTTTAATAGGAGGCTTCTTTGCAGCAAAAACCTGTAGTCAGAACATCAGAAGATTATCACTAATTAAAGAAAAACCATACATCTCAGGTTAATGAATGTAGTGCTTTTCTAAGGACAGGAAGATGCAAGAGTTTGGGCTTATTTAAATCATTCCTTTGATACATCACCTCAACTATCTAGGGCCACGTTTCTACTTTTCTCCATCCCAAATCCATTCCTTAGGGAGCACTCCTGAGGGTAAATGCAGTGGCTAATAGCTTGATGAACACAACATCCTTTGTTTACTGATATTGTAGGTGGCATTCTTTGTCTACATCGTTGTTGTTCAGTCACTCAGTCGTGTCCGACTCTTTGAGACCCCATGGAATACAGCGCACCAGGCTTCTCTGTCCTTCACAATCTCCCAGAGCTTGCTCAGACTCATGTCCATTGAGTCAGTGATGCCATCCAACCATCTCATTCTCTGTCGTCCCCTTCTCCTCCTGCCTTCAATCTTTCCCAGCATCAGGATCTTTTCTAATGAGTCAGTTCTTCCCATCAGGGAACCCAAGTATTGGAGCTTCAGCTTCAGCATCAGTCCTTCCAACGAATACTCAGGATTGATATCCTTTAGGATTGACTGATTTGATTTTTAACAAAATCATCAAAGAGGTGACTCTAAATTATTCTCAATGCTTTCTAGAAGGAAGCAGATGCTGTCAATCTGTCCCATTCTTGACAATGTTAGCTTAATTATTTGGTTATTTCTCTACTGTAAAGTTATTATTTTACTGTTTATAATGCAATGCATTCTACAGATAGATACTTTGAGATGACATAAATAAACTACTTTCCTCAAACTTACACCCATATTTTTACCATTCATTGGTGATTCTTGCCTGAATCAATTACTATTACAGTGATTACAAAATGGTAATCACTACTTCCACTGTTTCTTTTACATTTACTAGCTGACTTTCTATAGTAAAGAGCTTTTCCCTTTCCCCATGTATTTCTTATTGTTGTTTTGTCATTTACATCAGCATGGAGTCATGGTTTCTTTCTTTATTTGAACTCTTATTCTTTTCTATCAGGGTTTGCTTGTTTGTTTTCATGCTTAAACTATCCCAGATTTGGCCAATGGGAGCTCTTTTAAGCTGGTACCTGAAATTTTTCACATGCTCCATCATTCTCTGGGCATTTCTAGACTTTTTGGCACAGCATCTGTTCCAACGACTTATTGTGCTTCGATTGCCCCAGCCTTGGGATTACGCACTTCGCCAATGAGCTCTGATTCCTTTTGGTAGAGAATGATACTAAAAATAAATCGGGGTGTTGGAGAGCAGGGTATGCTCACTGCTACTTAGATGACATTGTAGATGTCTTAGATGTAAGTCTTAGATGACTTAGCCTCTCTCCACATAGAGCTAGAATAAATGTATGTACATACACACACACACCTTCAGATAGAAATTTCCCTTCCTCTTTTTTTACTACTGTACAGGACTCCATTGTGTGGTCCACCATAGTTTATTCAGCTGCTGTTCTATGAATTGGTATTTAGATTATTTTCAATGTTTTTCACTTATAAACAATGCCTCAGTGAATAATCCTGTGCATATGTATTTTCATATATGGAAGTAGGGGTGTATCTTCATGGTAAACTCCTGAATGTCAGATTGCTGAGTCAAAGGTAAGTACAAATGTATACTGATTATTGCCAAACTCCTCTCCTTAATGATGTACCAATTTGCATGCCTATTAACAACGTATGAGAGTCTCTGTTTCCCTATAGCCTTGCCATGAGAGTGTGTTACTGTTTTTTTTTTTTAATTTTGCCGAACGTGATAGTGGGAAATGGCATATCAGTGTAGCTTTAACAGATTGACACTGCTCTTATCATAAGTGAGGTTGAAAATATGTTTTTATATGCTCAAGGGTCACTGTTATACCCTTTTTTTAATGAACTGTCTGTACATGTTTCTGACCATTTTAATGAGATCTTATGTTTCAAAAATAATCAAATATTTCTTTTGAGGGCATATTCTAAATGCCAGACAGTTTTTTTGTGCTGCAGATTTAACAATAAAATCACTTGCAAAAATTTTACTCATCATAATAGCATCTGAAATTGAAATACAGAGGAGGTTTAAATCTTTGGTTGGAGATTGTTCTGCAAGGCTGAAATAATTTCCGAAGAAATTCAAAATCCTACAGCTCCATTCACATTACTCAAACATATTTTAAGTAAAGATCCACTTACAAATTTTTGTAGAGAAGCCAAAAGCCAAACGTCAAGAAGCTTAGCAGTCGCTTTGGGCAACAACATGTTAGAAGATTAGTACAACACAGAAGAGAAAACTTCTGAGAAAACTTGCAAATATTGTTTGAAAATCAGCAACTTCCCTTTTTAATTTTTTAAAATTTTCTCCTACAGTTATACATTTTTGGGATGATCCATTTAACAGATGACTCTGGACAGACTGAAGGTTTCTCTCAATGTGTAACACACTGCAGTTTTCCACAGTGGTGGCATCAAGCCTTTTATAACTTTTTCACCTTCAGCTGCCTCTTCATCATCCCTCTTCTCATCATGGTGATCTGCAATGCAAAAATCATCTTCACCCTGACAAGTGTCCTTCATCAGGATCCCCACAGTATGTATTCCTCAGATTAATTGTGGGTGGACAGTTGTTAACGGCAATACTCCAACCAGAGAATTTGAGTGGCACTTGCTATGCCAGATACTATTTTACCTGTAATAGTATTATATTGTATTGTAATAGTGTTGTGAAACTATTATGAGCAACTTACATACATTAATTAGCTCTTTCAATATTCAGAATCACCCCATGAGGCAATACTTTTATTATCCCCAATTTAGAGATGAGGTAATTTAATATCTCCCCATATTATAAATTTATAGCATGGAATTAAAGCTAAAAGGACAATTACTTCATTTACCAGCAGAAGCATGGGCAAATTGTTCCTGCTTGTTCATCATAACACTCTATCAAACACCTGATGCCTAAAATATAGCAAAGTACAACTCATAATATAGTTGCCAATATACTTGTTAAAGTTAAGCTGTTCTGTATCACATTCAAATCTTCTGTATCCACATGGTGTATCCACACACTATGCACATTTTGGTGTGTGTGTTGAGTGTGCTAAATATTATGGAACATGCAATTGACTATTAGATCTTTCACTCCACGCACATGGTTGTACCATTTTTGCTCCAAGAATCTGTTGTATTCTCAAAAACAAATGTATGAATTTTTAAAATTTTATATTGGAGTATAGTTGATTAGCAATATGGTATTAAGTCCTGATGTACAGCAAAATGATTCAGTTATACATATACATGTGTTTTTTTTTTCGCATTCTTTTCCCATTTAGGTTATTTTAGAACAGAGTAGAGTTCCCTGTGCTATACAATAATCCCTTGTTGCTTATCTACTTTTTGAATGAATACCTTTTTCCATCCCCTCACGTTCAGTCTGTGGTGGTGGTTGCCAAGTCTTATCTGACTCTTGTCATCTGTATGTATCCCTAGATCTCAAGTGTATCTCTTGTAGACAGCATATATATGGGTCTTGTTTTGGTATCCACTCAGCCAGTCTATGTCTTTTGGTTGGACTGTTTAATCTGTTTACACTTAAGATAATTATAGACATGAATGTTCCTATTGCCATTTTGTTCATTTTGGGGGGATTGTTTTTGTAAATTTTTTCCTTCCCTTCCTATTTTGTTGTCTTCTCTTGTGATTGATGACTTTCAGTTCAGTTCAGTCACTCAGTCATGTCCGACTCTTTGGGACCCCATGGACCGCAGCACATCAGGCTTCCCTGTTCATCACCAACTCCTGGAGCTTGCTCAAATTCATGTCCATCGTGTTGGTGATGCCATCCAACCATCTCATCTCATCTCATCTCATCCTCATCTCATCTCATCCAATGCTTCTCCTGTCTTCAATCTTTCCCAGTAACAGGGTTTTTTTCAGTGAGTCAGTTCTTCGCATCAGGTGGCCAAAATATTGGAGTTTCAGTTTCAGCATCAGTCCTTCCAATGGATATTTAGGACTGATTTAAGACTCACTTTAGTATTGTGTTTGGATTCCTTTTTCTTTTTTGTGTGTGTTATCTATTGTAAATTTTTGGTTTGTGGTTACCATGAGGTTCTGATATAGCAGCCTATATAAAAAACAAGACTGTTTTAAGTTGCAGGTCTTTTAATTTCAAATGCCTTTCCAGTATCTTGCATTTATGCTCTCCTCACAGTTAATGGTTTTGATATTGTATTTGTCTACAGATGATTTCCTACCTTTACTGTATATTTGCCTTCACCAGTAAGCATTTCCATTCATAATTTTATTATTTCTAGTTTTGACCTTTTCTTCTCCCCCTGGAGAACTTCTTTTAGCATCTGCTCCAAAGTTGGTCTTGTGTTGCTGAATTCACCTAGCTTTTGCTTGTCTGTGAAGCTTTTGATTTCTCCATCGAATCTGAATGAGAGCCTTGCTGAGCAGAGTACTTTTGGTTATGGGTTCTTTCTTTTCATCACTTTAAACACAGTAAATCCTCTATATACAAACCAAGTTGTGAACTTTCAAAGATATGAGTGTGCCTTCACACATTCAATCACTTAAGTTAGTTCATGAGTCTAGTGTGTGAAAATGGCAGCCTTCCAGAGGACTAATGAGTCCTTGGACTCATTGTACTAATTGGACCAATGAGTACCAATGAGTACTCCCCAGAACTACCACAGTCAGTGTCGCTGTCCTCACAGTGAGTCACAACCACCCTCTGCCTCCTCAGGAGACCCTTCAATACTAGCAGGCAAACATAACTCAGTGTCTTAAGAGGTCCCCATTTTTAACCTGGGTCCTAGTATTCACGAGACTTTGTCTGTGCCCTCCAATAGAGGAGTTTCTGTTTCCTCCAGTCCTGTTTAACTCCTAAGATCAAACCCTGCTGATCTTCAAGGACAGATTCTCTGGGGGCTCCTCCTATTGCCAGACCCTCAGGCTGGGGGCTTGATGCGGGACTCAGAACGTTCACTCCTGTGGGAGAATTTCTATGGTCTAATTATTATTTTACAGTTTGTGGGTTACCCACCTGGTGTGTATGGAATTCTATTTTATCACTATCACACCCCTCCTGGAGAAGGCAATGGCACCTCACTCCAGTACTCTTGCCTGGGAAATCCCATGGACGGAGGAACCTGGTGGGCTGCAGTCCGTGGGATCGCGAAGAGTCCAACAAGACTGAGCGACTTCACTTTCACTTTTCACCTTCATGCATTGGAGAAGGAAATGGTAACCCACTCCAGTACTCTTGCCTGGAGAATTCCAGGGACGGGGGAGCCTGGTGGGCTGCTGTCTATGGGGTCGCACAGAGTCAGACACGACTGAAGCGACTTAGCAGCAGCAGCAGTACCCCTCATACCATCTCATTGTGTCTCCTTCTTTATCTTTGGATGTAGCGTATCTTCTTTGGTAGGTTCCAGTGGGTTTTTTGTTGTTGTTGTTGATGGCTGTTCAGCAGTTAGTTTTGATTTTGGTGTTTCTATAAGAAGAGGTGAGCTAATGTCCTTCAACTCCTCCATCGTGTATTATTCCTTAAATGTCCTTAATGCCAACTAGGGTTCTGACACCAATCCAGTGCACGTGTTTCTTGCCTGTACCAAGCTTACAACACCTCCTATGATGGCAACAGGGCTTCCTGCTTGGTCAGTCAGGAAAGGTGAAAAGTTATAAATTTATAAAATAAGTGTTGCTATGTTGGCATAACAACCAAAAAGGAGAGAATTAAATTCAGTTCAACCTCAGTCTACTCTCTTAAATTTATATTTGAAGAATTTGAGTAAATTGAAGAATTTGAGAAACCTCATATTTCAAATCCTTATTAGTTTGATGGAAAATTAATTTTAAGAGCATTACTATCTTTAATATTTCTATTTATTATGTAGCAGAGTAGAAAACTTGAAATATAAACATGCTTTGCAAAGCATGTGTCGTGTCGTCGCTCAGTCGTGTCCAACTATTTGTGACCCCATGGACTGTAGCCTACGAGGCTCCTCCGTCCATGGGATTTTCCAGGCAAGAGTACTGGAGTGGGCTGCCATTTCCTTCTCCAGGGGATCTTCCCGACCCAGGGATCGAACCCAAGTCTCCTGCATTGCAGACAGACGCTTTACCCTCTAAGCCACCAGGGAAGCCCATTGTCATTATTAAAAATACTAGCAATTTGCCTCCATTATATTCACCAGGTTGAATTACTACTCTCTCCTCCTTTTTCTCTATTTTGGCTTTGTAATAAAACTGATCATTAAAAACACCTTCTATTTTCTCTGTTTAAAAGAACTACAACTGAATCAGTCCAAGAACAATATACCACGAGCTCGGCAGAGGACCCTAAAGATGACGGTTGCATTTGCCACTTCGTTTACTGTCTGCTGGACGCCCTATTATGTACTTGGAATTTGGTATTGGTTTGATCCTGACATGGTAAACAGGGTGTCAGATCCAGTAAATCACTTCTTCTTTCTCTTTGCTTTTTTAAATCCATGCTTTGATCCACTTATATATGGATATTTCTCTCTATAATTGTTAGACTGCATAGAAAGTCAAAGAAACGCAAAGTGATGAATTTCCCTTTTTGGGAATGAGAAACACAAAGCATATTGTGACATATTTACACATAAATAAAGCAGAGTTTAAGGTAATATTACGCTTCTTCCTTTAGAAATCACAGAAACTCAATTACAAGGAAAAGATTTTTTTCAGGAAAAATAATGAAATATTTTCACTTAATCACGATTTCTGAATTAATCTCTTTGCTTTCTGAACTCCTATAACACATTATATGGATTTTTTAGTCACTTTATTCTTGTATAATAATATATAAATATTTAAAATAGCCACAGCCTAAGGCAAACAAATGCCAAAAATTAACACTGAGAAACACAGACCTTTTACTGCAAAGGGGCTTAGCAACAATTACAATCTTATGCTAAGATAATAAATACATAAAGCACAGATAGTATTTCCCCTACTCATATGATCAGTTTTTCCTCCTGTGGGTTAAGAAAAAATGCAATGAATCTAATTTTTTCCTTGGCTTCAAAAGCATTCTGACATTTGGAGTATTCAGCAACCAACCCACTGTCCACTCCTTCAACTTGACAAGACTTATAGTTCTCCTTCATCCCATTCTTCACCTGGTACAGGTTGTGAAGTACCTCCATAAAAAAGGGAGTTTCAGAGGGGTTCAAATTTGGACTGGGAGATAGAACATTCCTGTCAGCTATGTGGTCTATGGAGTTTGTGGTAATTAAGTGCAGTAATAACAACATTGTTTTAATATACAATCAAGAAAAGATCTATAGTGATATGTATATCCTCTCTTTTAAGATGATGGATTTTTTTCTGTCTTCTGATCTGTCTAAATCCATAATCCACAAATCACTTTAAAAAAAAAGGAGAGAGAGATCAAGCAAATGCACAAGCAAAATATTATTTGGTAGGTAAAATGAACTCTAAAAAACCTCAGTCTCACTATTACAAGTCAAAAGAGTAATAGAGGAAAGGCAGAAGAGTATTAGAAAAAGGAAAAGAAAACCTCTCTGTAAATGTGTAACTAACATCCACTGATATTCGCATTAAATGGTGTAGTTTCCAAAATATGTTGGCACAACACCTCTTTTAATTCAGGCCTGTTTCCACACATTCCACGAAAAGGGGAATAGGATGAAAGGGTTCTTTAGTATCCACTAAATAAGAAAACTATATAAGGGACTTAAACTCAACCACTGTTTATTTTTTTAAACAGGTAAAATATTACTTTATCCACATGTGATATGTACTGCCACACTGAAGTTGAAATGTAATTTCCACACATTCCAGGCCTTGTGTAACCGTGGAAAGTAAATTGCTAATTAAACTAACAGTAGGTCTTTACATTCCTTATTTTTCTCTCCTTATACTTTGTCTTTTAGTTTTGTAGGGTGTGGTGTGTTTTTTTTTTTTCCACATTCTATATTATTTTCCAATTCTGTCTTCATTAATTGAATTCCTTCTACTTTTTTTCATTCACATCTTCTTTTTACTAAACTCATACCTTTAATTAGCCAATCAATGACCCAACTCCACAACTGAATTAGGCTGGACTCAAAATTTGTAAAGTGCTAAAATACACAAAGTTAACTTTAAAGGTGTGTATATTGATACCAAGAATATATAGTTCTGCTAAATGACACAGGAATATATAGATAAGTCACAACAAAATCATTCTTCTTCCTTGTCTCTTTATCATGCGTATTCTTACTCATAAACTTATAACAATTCTGATGTGTGGATTTAAAAGCAAAAATATATGAGATACAATCTAAGGGCTTTAGTAGATATGTGTTTATAAAACATACGTCAGTTTGGCTTTGTTCATGGAACTGTTTTTAGAGAACATATTTAGATATGTTCTCAGGCATGTTTTTTAAAATATATTACCTAAAGGGCTATTCAAAATCTTTGTGCAGGTGCTTTTAACCTGTGCTCCATGCACAAAAGTATTTCAATGAGATAACTTTTCTTTGATTCCTATTTCTATTATTTTACGCACTTAAAAACATTATCCTGAGAGAAGTTTATAAGCCAAATCAGGCTGCCAAAGAAGCAATGTCACACAAAAAAATTAAGAATTCCCAACTGATCTTGTATATTTATAAAAAAGTTTATTATAAAAATGTATCAGAATGTATTCACCTGTTTGTGCAGTCATGACCACATGGACCATGTTTACATATACATAATATTGAAACTGAATTTCAACTTGATCACTCATCATGTTAACCTTGAAAACTCTCTTAAGGCTACAAATGTATGAAAAACTTTGCAGAAATAACTATATTATATAAAATATTGTGGTATGTAAATTATAATGTGAATATGGATGTAAACCAAAATTAATAGTACAAAAGGTAAATGTAACTTTTAAGTTAAAAGTATGTCACTCAAAAAAGAGTATTTAACATTTGATATTATAGTCATTTACTCTATTTTCAGGCATAATAAAAGATGAGGATTCCTTGTATCTTCTGTAATCAAATGTATCAGATAATTAAGAGTCTATCTTAGCTGTCTTTTCATCTATTTAGCATATAAAACTGGTTAAAAAATGGATTTCCTCTTGCAATTCAATTTAGTTATACATAACATGAACAAACAACAATGAATTAAACAAAGATTGTACAAATTCAACTTCAGTCTAAAAACCAGAGATACCATAGCTAAAAATAAACAAACCAAAAATTGTTGAGGTACCACAAACATTATCTTCCTAGGAGCATAAATCAGTGTAAATGAACTAGAAAAAAATTTTAGGTGCCCTGGTCTCAGAACTTACATGGTAGCCTCAAAGATATATTTGTGTTAAAGTACATTTAAATTTCATCTGTTAAAATACATCTGAAATTCATTTGTTTTATCTTTAGCCTAGTTTCAGTGTCAAACCAATTCCTAAAGCTTGTCTAACTACTATAAATTGTGTTTTTGGAAACAAATTAAGATTCAATTTAATCCCTAATTATGATTAATTGATTTAAATCTTTAGTTCTTTTGGCTATTAAGTTTAAAAATTAGGTGTAAAACAATTAGCTTAATTTTTAAATTATATAATATACAAATTGCATGCATAGGAACAACAGAATGTATGCAAAAAGTGTTGACATAGTTCTCTCTCATTTTTAAAAATTTTCTTTCTTGTGAATACCTGCATCCCAAATTTCCAAAATAGACATATATTGCTTTTGTAATGAGAAAAAGGTAAAATAAATACTATATGTGTGTGTCTGTATGACTTTTGTGCTGTTTCTGTTAGAGTGCTTTCTGTTGTAATAGAAATGTCAGACTAGAGATTATGTGTTTTCATTTCATGTTACAGGAAGTCCAGAAGAAAGCATGCAGAGTTGGTTAGCTCAGAGCTTTGAATCATTTTCTGTACTTCCTCTAGGCTTTACTTTACTGATTAGGAGTTAGTTGTCACCTACTAGGGGTGTCAAAGGCATAAAGGGTGGCTTCTCACTGTGCTTCTCTCCTGGCCAGAATCCTCAGCACTTCCTCTTAAACTGGCTAGAATTGGAGCACATGATCACCCCTAAACTAATCACTAGCAAAGGAGAAAAGGATCACCCTAAACACCTTAAGGATATGTTTTATCTTACAGACAGCAGCACTCAGTTTCCCTGAACATTTAGTCACCTGATAATTTTTTTTTAATCAGTTCTTTTTTTCCCTCTCTCTCTCTGTCTCTCTCTGTCTCTCTCTTATTCTTTTGTCTTGTTTTGTGAGAACAAGAGGGGACTGTTTTGGGGATTGTCTTGTTTTGTGAGAACAAGAGGGGACTGTTTTGGGGATCAGAGGTCAGATATATCACCAATTACTTTCTCAAAATCAGAACTAAGTATATCACAAAGTTTAAATAGCACACAATTTAAACAAAAAGAATAAAGGCTAAATATAGTAATTACATGATATCAATTAAACAATAAATGTAGCCCTAAGGGAAAAGAATGGATTTTATTAATTTTCAAAATCAAAATCCAACGGTGGTCCTAAGATGGCAGAGGAATAGGATGGGGAGACTATTTTCTCCCCCACAAATTCATCAAAAGATCATTTGAACGCTGAGCAAATTCCACAAAACAATTTCTGAATGCTGGGGGAGGACACCAGGCACCCAGAAAGGCTTCTCTTCGGAAGGAGGTAGGGCAAAATATAAAAGATAAAAAGAGCAACAAAGGAGTTAGGGACAGAGACCCATCCTGGGGAGGGAGTCGTGAAGGAGAAGTTTCCAAATACTAGGAAACCCTCTCACCAGTAGGTCGTACCAGTAGGAAACCCTCGCACCAGAGCAGAACAGGGAGGTGCGGGCTGGCGTAGGGTGGGGACCAGGTCTGAATGCCCTGAGGACAGTCTGAGGGAACTAACATGAGATAGCAATCTGAACTGCAGGATAAAAAATTTAAAAAAGCAAGTTGTGAAGGAGAAGTTTCCAAATACCAGGAAGCCCTCTCACCAGTAGGTCTGTGGAAGTTTTGGAATCTCGGAGGGCAACATAACTGGGAGGAAAAAAAAAAGAACCCACAGGTTACGGGCCTAGCCATGACTCCCAGCAAAGAGGTAGCCCAGACCCTTGTGTCCACCAGCAGCAAGCCGGAGCAGAACAGGGAGGTGCGGGCTGCAGGCGTAGGGTGGGGACCAGGCCTGAATGCCCTGAGGACAATCTGAGGGAGCTAACATGAGATAGCAATCTGAACTGCAGGATAAAAAATTTTTAAAAAAGTGAAGTCCCTCAGTCCTATCTGACTCTTTGTGACCTCATGGCCTATAGCCCTCCGGGTTCCTCTGTCCATGGGATTTTCCAGGCAAGAATACTGGAGTGGGTTGGCATTTCCTTCTCCAGGAGATCTTCCTGACCCAGGGATTGAACCCAGGTCTCCCACATTGTGGGCAGACACTTTACTGTCTGAGCCACCAGGGAACTGCAGGATAACCAGAAGGAAAAAAGAGAGAGAGAGAGAACTTTCCCGTGAAAAGCTCATAGGCACAGC